AACCACAATGCTGATGCGGCCCTCAATGAAATTGAGTTTGACACCCCTGCCATAGAGCAATAGCATAAGTATCAAACTAGCCCCTAGCACAACTTTCTGAAAGTGGCCAAATAGAAGGGAACAGACGCACTCTCAAACCATGTTCCTGGGTCCTATCCGCAGACAGTCCAAAAGCAAACTATTGTGGTGTCAAAGCATGCTAAGTGGTCCTGGAAAACTAGTAGGGCACATTGTTCTGTTGTTTTTTTTTTTTTTTACTATGAGTAATGTGTTGCTTCTTATTGGAAACTGGAATGTCAAAGAAATAACCTTGAGAAGTACTGCATAGCCTAGGAAATTGAAACGAAGAAGAAGAACAACTTATACATTTCTGTCAAATCCATTATTTCTATATTGCTAACACAGTTTCTCAACTATCAAAAGGAAGCCTATATACATGGATAAACACAGAAGTCAAACTGACTATATTATTGGTACAAGGAAGTAGAAGAATTCAATTGTAACACCAAAAATGGAGGCAGGAGCTAACTCTACAACAGTTTGTGCACTGTTCATGTGGAAGTTCTAGGTTGAGCTACGATGGAAGAAGAAAGCCAGCCTGTTTTCATGTTACGATGTTGAGCACATCTATATACTACTAAAACACTCATATCTATTTGTCATTTTCAATTGGGTGAAATAGTGCATCACAGGGCAACAAGTTTTGAATCGACATATCTCAAATGAACTAAATTACAGAATACCATCAAATCCATGACCCAGGACTCCTATGGAAATGAAATTCGAGAAGCTGTGGCCACTTCAGCACCCACCACATTGCTGTTGCTTCAGTATCACCATGCTGCCACAGTCAACCATAGTCACATCCGGTGCTTTTTTTATATAAAAAAAAAAAGTGCCAGAACTCACATATGTCATACAACCTGCCTTGCCTAGCCTACAAGGTTCCATCCTAAAAAGGTGCCGGAACTCCGTTCTGGGCATTCTATGACAAAAAAAAAGCCCTGGTCACATCATCCTCATTTCCAACAGTCTCTGACAGGAAATGAGGAAGCCAGCAATGAAGGTCGCAAGTTACTCAGGGTGAGTCTCCCCCACTGCAATTTTCACACCTCTCCACACACACCCACACTCTTCCCAACCTACATAGTACTCCCTCAAGCAACCCTGTGCAACATTTCTGACTTGCACTATACTTCTGTGCGCCCTTCAATTCATGCCATACTTCTGCATGTTCTCCCCAACCTGCACAGCTTCTCAGGCACTACACAAAGTTTTTCTAAGCTACAATCATTCTTGCATGCTCTTCCTAACCATTCCCTCTCTGACCCACATATCGCTTCTTGTATATACTTCCCAAACCATGGCTGCACCCTGTGCCCTTTTTGATTCTCGTGGCATATTTCATGAACCCACACACACTCTTTCCAACTCTTTTAACCTCACATATCGTCCTTAACCCATGCAGTGCCCATTTTTTTATTAAGTCAATGGGAAAGCAGGAGGGAGGGAGGGAGGGAGGGAGGGAGGGAGGGAGGAAGGAAGGAAGGAAGGAAGGAAGGAAGGAAGGAAGGAAGGAAGGAAGGAAGGAAGGAAGGAAGGAAGATTTCTGACACTGCCTGCCAGTTTTCTACAAGGAATGTGATGTGCAGACTCTATTAATGAAAGTCAGGGAGCCCTCTGAAACAAAAATGGGATTAAGATAAATATAAAGATGACCAAATTAATGACAGGTACAGGAACCAGCCTTCAAATTGACAATGAAGATATTGGAGTGGCAGATAGCTTCTGGAATCAGCAGTCAAGAAATACACCATAGACTTAATTAATAGCCATGAAGACCTTGGAAAACATATTTATATGCCAAGATGCATCAATCTTTCCCAAGATCAGAACTCTTGGACTCTGAAGAAACAGGATAAAACTTGAAACTTGAAAAAACTCTGGCTAGGCAAGAAAATAAATGGATCACAGAATAAATCAAATCAGAGCTCTCAATTGACACTCAAATTACCATGCTTAAAGTATCACATTTGGAACATATTGTTAAAAGAATACCTCTCCCGAAAAGACTTTGATGCTGGGAAAGGTGGTAGAACAGAGAAAAGGATGGCCAGCAGCAAGGTGGAGGGACTGAATTAGAGCAGCAATCAATACACTACTGGAAAACCTGAAGGACCAGACTGAGAACCAATCAGCATGGAGAAAGCCTTGTATGGTTGCTAAGACCCAACACCAACTTGGTAACACTATGCAAATGTCACATTTAGTTTTTGAAAATTAAGCCATCCTATGGTTTATTTTGAATATATATTCTTTTTCCTCAAGAAATACCTAGTATCTCTGATCATGTGCAAAGTATCATTCATTTAGGACCAATATTACCATGGTATCAGACTGATAACTGCTGTTTGGCAAGGCATATCTGCCCAATCTTTATTTCCAGGCTAGCGTATCCAGATGATTTGTTTTTAAAAAATGAGGAATCATAGCACCAGAAGATATTATTGTATGTCAGATCTTAAAAACAAATGCACAATATACACCCCTTAAGGAATCTTTAAGTGAAGGTAAAAGTGCAAAAATTTGTCTATTATTCAATAGTAAAAAAAGGGCTTGACAATCCTGGCAAAATTACATACATCAGATCAAGAGTTGAAAGTAGATTAAACAACTGAATAACAATAATTTTTTGTAACAAAGCTTCAGTTTCCAAAATACACTGATTTCTCCCAAAATTCCTAAACACAGCTTGAATCTTTGAATGGGCAGATTCACCTTATGATTAAGAATCTTACGCTTATCAAGAAACCCAATTATAAAGATATTGTAAAAGATTCTGAGGAATGTGCATTTTTTTCCATTCAGATATTTTATTCTACTAAAGGTAAAGTTTAAAGAGTTGGACTGGGCAATAACCTGACCATTTTTTAATTTAGCAAATTTATTGAAAATAAGTCACAGAACGCTTTTAACATCTAATTTACCAGGCAGTCAAAGAGCAACAAATTTCTGTAACTGTTGCCAACCTATGGGGCATACTATGGGTCCTTGATCATGGCAAAGTTCATTGATATGAGGCTTCCCAAGGGGTATCTCATATCATTTGGATCTCAGGATAGACAAGGATCATGGTATGTCTGATTTCTAAAAGGGTGCAAGATAGGAAAAAAAACAAGGTATACAGGTGGTCAGAAGGACACAATCACAATTTACTTCTCATGATTGCTAATTACTAACTTGGGTGCAAGAAGTAAGTACAAATGCTCAGAAAGATAACGTCTAATTGGTCTGGAAAAAAAACCCCAGGTACTAATCAATTCTCTTTTGATTCCAGCTGTTAGTCATTATTCATCTAAGCAGAGTTTGCTATGAATTATTATAGTCCCAAAAACCAATGGAATATTTTTATAATGAAGAAGAGTTAGAGGAATCTTCTGATTCCTCTAACTCTTCTTCATTATAGAAATATTCCATTGGTTTTATTGCAGCTTTCACATACAAGATGGAATTATTGGGAATAAAGCTAAAAAAAACAAGGTGTTGGCAAAAATAAAAGCACTCTACTATTATTTATGGAATTCCTTTCAGATTTCCAGAAAAAATGCAAGTAGACTGGATTTGGAGAAATTGGGTGTGAGCATTCTGGAAGCATGGCTTGTATCCACTGCTTCAATTCTTCCACAGAGTCATTTCAAAGCCTTTCTTCAACATACCTTCAAATATATATTTTGCTTACACAAAATATATGCATTGCAGTGTACGAATCCTCACAAATTAAGGCAAACGTACATGCTCCAGGATAACGTTGCAGGGCCCAATCAGAGTCTGTCACAGGGAGCACTTGAGAGAGAGAAGTTCCCTAAGGGTGGGCTCCAGCACGAATCAGAAAGTTTGAAAGAATAAACCTCTAGTCCCAGTGACTGACTCAGATTGGATCCTGTATGAATTCTGCCTGTGATTTTGTTTTGCTAAGGGTGGCCCTACAGTTTCGGTTAAAATGTACTGTCTTGCTCTGGGCTTAATGAATGAATCCAAAGCAAAATCTGTAAATCAGTTCAGAATGGGTATTGCCACAGTATCTTTATTAGACCAACCCAAAGGTCACAAAACATTTGCAAGCTATTGAGATCTCCGAACTGTTCATCAAGCACGGGGAGTTTAAAAAAATGCTAAGAGCAAGGGGAGAGGAAGGGAAAAACTGAACTGTTGATATCCGTATTTAACGCGCAGTCTTCCATGCCTGCTCGGGTTTCGTCTCTGCTTTTCGTTTGGAATTATTTCTCCTCCTCTAGATTGCCGCGGTATTACTTGTCCCCTTCGCACCCCTCGTAGCAGAACACGACGTCTGTCGTACCGTCCTTTTGTAGACTCAGGATCCCGTTCAGATATGGTTAAAAAATTCGCTTTTGTTTGATGCAGGTCCAGATTTCTCTTATTCTTGGCTGGAAATTGCACCTGACCCTCGAGAAGCATGGCAAGAGTCATATTCCAAAACATAGGGAACTTTAATTTAAAATTTAAAAAATACATTTACATACAAAAGTTAAATTTTATTTACTGGTCGTATTTCCATCCTGCTATCCGTTTGCAAAAACAGCATGATTTGCAAGCTGGGAGAGTTTGCCACTTAGTAGAAACCGCCACTACGGAGATAACATCACCCATTATGAAAACCAGCGTCTCACATTCAGCCCTAGATTTGAGAAAGAGAAAGTCAAGGTTGCATGGAAGGCTGGACTTGCAGTCCGCCGATTTGGCTGCAGGGCCCTTTTTTTTCTTTTTCTCAGGCACTGCGCAGGGCAGCTAATCGCAGCGCCGCGAAGGGTCTTTCTTCCCTCTTGCGTCGCACTGGCTTCTCGGGGAGGTTTCGCTACAATATTCTTGCTGGTACCGCTGCTGCCGACACCGCCCGAGGCTTGCAACGGGCAACGGATGGGCCGCTTGAGCTGCATTGGGAATCATGATGCCCGGGGAGACCCCGCCGGCGGCCAACACGGCGGTGATCGCGGCGGAGGCGGCCACAACCTGCGCCAATTGCGGAGCCCTTCAGCAGGTAAAGCTCTGAATCTGACTTTGCCCCTTGCAACCCGTCGTGCTGGGGGCGTATTTACCGAATGGGGCAGACGTGTTTTAAGACGGCCTTATTGAATGAATACCCTAAAATGGTATTTTAGGGACGGAGTGAAGTGCGCGGGGAGCAAATTCGAGTGATGAATTATTTGGTTTTCCTGGGCTCTCTTGAAGTTCCCAAATACCCTTGAGTCCTCCAGCATGGGGTCAGCTGTCCACTCACTGTTCACTGTCCAGACATTTTTAACAGAATAACAGAGTTGGAGGGGACCTTGGAGGTCTTCTAGTCCAACCCCCTGCTCTAGCAGAAAACTCTTTCTATACCTTTCCAGACATGGTTGTCCAATCTCGTCTTAAAAACCTCCAGCGTTGGAGCACCCACTGCTTCTGGAGGCAAGTTGTTCCACTGATTAATTGTTCGAACTGTCAGGAAATTTCTCCTTAGTTCTAGGTTGCTTCTCTCCTTGATTGGTTTCCATCCATTGCTTCTTGTTCTGTCTTCAGGTGCTTTGGAGAATAGGTTGACCCCCCCTCTTCTTTATGGCAACCCCTTAGATATTGGAATATTGCTGTCCTGTCTCTCCTAGTCATTCTCTTCATTAAAGAAGACATACCCAATTCCAGCCATCATTCTTTATATGTTTTAGACTCCAGTCCCCTAATCCTCTTTGTTGCACTTTTCTACACTTTTATTAGAGTCTCAATATATTTTTTACATTGTGGCAACCAAAACTGGATGCAATATTCCAAGTATAGTCTTACTTGGGGATACCCAGTTGGGGGCTCTTTTCATGATCCTATTAATGAGCCCACTGAAGGGGTAGCTATTCACTTTTGCATGCTAGGCTAGAAGGAGCTGGAGCAAATGACAGGAGCTCACTTCGCCACACAGCAACACTTGGGTCTCGAACCTGGGTTTGCAGATTGTCAACCCAGCGTTCTAACCATGTGAACTACTGCGCTCCTAAGGATTAAGTAAAAGTTGATCAGAACAATAATGGTCAGTAAAGATTGATATTTCACTTCTGATGATTACTATGGTACATGAAAGACTGTAACTTTGAATATCAAAATAATAAATTCATGAGTTAAGGACAGGATTTAATGAGAAAAATGAACAAAAGTAAAATAGATAAAATAGATTAGAAAATAGATAAGTTGTATATCTGATTTATTTAGGGAATGATGATTACTAAATGGAAGTCTAAGATTATAAAGTTGAATACATGTAAAGAAGTAAATGTAGGTTTAATTATGAAAGGACTAAAAGTTAGAAGATACGAATTGATGTCATGGTTTTGGTTCATAGGAAAAGAGAAATCTATAAGATGGCAGTAGTTTTATGTGATCTGCAATGAATTGGTAGTAGAAGAAATGAATTTGGGGGAAATTATGCAACATTGTAAATGAATGTGATCAAGGGGAAAAAATAGAAACAGAAAAAGTAATTGTATCATTTGGAGAAAAACATAAGAATGAAATGTAACTGGTGAATAACTGCTTAGAAAAAGGCCTGTTTGTTTTGAATATATGGTTTAAGCATAAATCTGTTTATATGTTTGTTCTTATCCTTTCTTCCCTATATTGACCCAATTTAGCCCCAATCATAGAGTCTAGATCACGGGTGTCAAATTCGCGATGTCACATGACGTGTCGTGACATATCGCAACTTTTTTTCCCAGTGCCAGCAATGGGGTGGGCACGGTTTTGGCGTGACGCATCTGGCCCACGGGCCGGCAGTTTGACACCCCTGGTCTAGATGGATCACAGTAAAAATTTAATAAATCAAATATCCACAGACAATTCAAAAATCAATTTCAGATGTCTAATTAAAATAGAACTTAATCCAACAATTCCTCACACTGTAAGGTTAAGGAACGCCCCTTGTACTCTACATGTCTGACAAAACAAAAGCATTTTTACCTTCCTTCTCTCTTGAAAATAGATGGTAGGGCACGGATGTCAAACTTCTGATGTCACATGGCGTGTTGCGAAGTATCACAACTTTTTTTCCCATTGCCGGTAGTGGGGTGGGTGTGGTTTTGGCGTGATGCATCTGGCCTGTGGGCCGGCAGTTTGACACCCCTGCTGTAGGGGTTATGTTGGCCTTTGGAAGTAAGCTGTTACAAAATGATAGGGTAGTGACTCAAAAGGCCTGTCCCATAACTCCTCTGCTTTATTAGTGTGTGTATGGAGGGGACTAATACTCTACCCTCACGTCATTGTATTTTGGGCGTTTGGCAACTGGCTTGCATTTACGACACAAGTCTGCAATTTGCAATATTTTTTGCCATTTTTCTGCCCATTGCATATGCTGGATTTGCTGAACAACCTCATGGTTCACTTAAAGTCCATGTACATTGTATTTTCTATTATAAATTAATAAAAAAAAATTAAAAACCTTGCAAGCATCAAAAAAATAGTTGCAAAGTCAAATCAGATCACATGGTGACTTGCATAATGACCGCAACTACCAAAATTACAACTTACAATTACCAAAATTCTGGGCTCAGTTGTAGTTGTAAGTTGAGAACTACCTAAATATACAAGGACTGGGAGATTAGTATTTTCCAGCAGTAGCATCAAAGATGAAATCCAGCATTAAACCTGAATTATTATTTTTTTTTGTGGCTTTTATGCTGCTCCAATCAAAAATAACTTTGAACAATTATCAAAAACTGATAATGCTGAACAATAGGGTGGATAACATATCAGCAGTATACTCAGCCTGTCTGCACAACCCAGTTTCAAATAGTTACTCACATCCAGTCATGTCAAAAAGAGAGCACCTGATAACTATCTCCCATAGTACTTGTCCCAAGTTCTTTTAAACTATATCCAATTTGGTGGGTTCAAGACACCAAAAGAGCTAATCACAACCCACGTTTCTAGACAACACACACAAGCACTTACATAACTATTACTCACTATTGGTATTTTTCATTCTTCCCCACTGCTACTACAACTTCTGCTATTCTGCCTACTACTCCTCGTGAGTAGTGCTAGAGAAAAACACTCCTTTCTGGCTGCTTTAGACTGTTTTACTTTTTTACACACTCCTCCCTGTCTCTCCCCCACAAGTGCAATTATTTCACAGGAAAGCTTTTATGGTTAACCTTGCCATGTTGTCCTTGGGGACAGGGCTTAAAGAGAAGGGAAGAAAGCAGCAGCACAGATGCTGGCAATTTTCTGGGCAACCTGTTCTCAAATTACTGTAGCCTCCACCATCCCAGCATTATGTCAAAGCTGCTAAACTACCAAAAGTGAGACATATGTCAGATATGGACTTCTTTATTCTTGCCCAAACAGTTCTCCATTATACATGCAAAATCTTCGTAATGATCCCTAAGCAAGTATTTTGAACAAGGTCTTATTACACATGAATTCACTAAAAGCAGCCTGAGGCCAAATACTGGGAATTCAGCTTCCCGTATTCTAGGAGGCAGGTGGACTAAAAGATGGGATAAGTAACAGCCAATATTCTATAATCTGACTCCCGTCAATTACCTCCTTCTTCCCATTACTATAGTAATAAACTTTCCCATATCAATTTTTCTTTCTGAGCACTTAATCCTCCCCTCACAATACAACCGGGATTGATTACTATGAGAATGGAGTACTTAAGCATGTGTAGTAAAGTAAGAAATAGGATGAACAGTAAATGGATGCTAAATGACTGAGAAAGCTTAATAGAGAAGTGAATAACTAGTGTGAAAGAAGTACATCGAGGTGGTTTGGTATTATAGAGAGAATTAACAAGGATTAAATTATAAAATAAATAGATGAAGAAAGAATGAATGAAAGAACCAAGAAGAGACCAGGAAAGTTGTGGTGATAGATAGCTTTAGAAAAAGAGCTCACGCTTGTTTACAGTTGTTCACAAATTCATTCACGTTTTTTCTATAGCATTTTTTAGTTTGGTTCACCTTATTTTTCTAATATAATCTTACCTATAATGATGTTAAATCTGTCTAGCTTCTTTTTATAAAATTACTGCAGCAGATTAAAACTTTGAATGGGAGTGCTTCTATTTTAAATCTAGTTTGATTTAAAATATTTCTCAAACATATAGAATAATAGTTTTGTAAAATATTTTTATGACAGTGCAAACCTTGACAATGATTTATAAAAACAGTTCAGAACCTGTGCAAGTGCTGCACTTCTTTGCTGTGGATTAAAGCAGCCCATCTGAAAAAAGATTGTACAAGGTCCAAAACACTTCCTCTAAATCATTTTCAAAGCGTGACTGCTCTAATAAATATTCTTAATAATTTGTCATCTTTTTTTCAGAATTTGAATAAATACATTGCTGCCTTAATAGCTTTAAAACAAAAAATAATTGATGCTGAGTAAGTACCTTTTCATCTATTTCTGTAAGCATTTATTTATTTTTGTAGTCCTAAACCATTGATTGAAAAAATTGAGGCCTTTGAATTATGGTGCTGGAGAAGACTCCTGCGAGTCCCTTGGACTGCAAGGCGTTCAAACCGGTCAGTCCTAGAAGAGATCAACCCTGACTGCTCTTTAGAAGGCTAGATCCTGAAGTTGAAACTCAAATACTTTGGCCACCTAATGAGAAGGAAGGACTCACTGGAAAAGGGCCTAATGCTGGGAAAGATTGAGGGCAATAGAAGAAGGGGACGACAGAGAATGAGATGGCTGGATGGAGTCACTGAAGCAGTAGGTGTGAACTTAAATGGACTCCAGAAGATGGTAGAGACCAGGAAGACCTGGAGGAACGTTGTCCATGGGGTCGCGATGGGTCGGACACGACTTCGCAATTAACAACAACAACAACAAACCATTGATTGAATATAACTAGGGACTAGATGGGAGGCTAGGAGTATGTGACAGTACAAATAAATTGGGCATAATGAGTATAAGGAGTCTAACATGGAATATAATCCACGTTATAATCTATAAGGTTCTGATAAAATACTTTGGGGTATATCTTAATACAATTTGGGAGTTCTGTTATGTCCAACACTATTGTGGAAGATGGTGTGGCAAAGTTGTCAACCTGGTATACTTTGCTGTTATGATAACAATGTCTTTCACATGGAATACTTGTGACTATTCTCAAAAAGTGTTTGGAAAGACTTTCACAGGAATACTCATTGAAAATCATTTTATACCAACCACTAATTGACTTTCACTGAAATCATTTTTTTCCAAGCACAGCTGATGTGCTGGTTTTTACCTCCTGAGGCCTAAAACATAAGCAGGCAACCCTTTTGTCAGTCCTGGGTAGAACTCACTCCTATCAGTTATACCATTTCAATGTCTTTGGTGACACAATAACATTGTTAGAAGGGATGGAGCAACTATTTGGGACACATTTGGTCAGGTGAACAGGTTGAAAGATTGGAATGGGAGCAAAATTTTCTTCCCATCCTCACCCTTACCCAAGAAACTACACTGTCAGATACCAGGCATTTTCCTGCCAAATGTTTGTAATATAATCTCAGATGGTGGAGAACTGCATATGAGCCATGGGTTTCCCAGGGATTGGTCTGGTGGTGTAAAGGGCCACTTTTTGCTTTCTAGTGTAATGTAGCATCCAGGGATCTTTATGGAGAGGGCAAGGGACAGTAAGGTGACAAGTCATACATTGGGCCACAGATGTTGCAATGTATGTACTGATTTTGCATTAGGATGCAAATATATAAGAATGGCGTGTGCATCATGACATCGCTACATTCACGTTGTTCACTTTTGGGGGACACGCTGTGGACACCACAATCTAGCATTTCAATTTTGCACTGTAAAATGTCAGTTTCTGCCAATTAATATGTAGAAAGTGACAAGGGATGACTAAAGTTCCAGTGTGTTAAGCATGGAAAATTTTGTCTTCCCAATTCCCAAGGCTATCTAAGGCTATTAACTCTCAGGCCTGGAAAAGGGGCAGTGTGAATTTAGGACTTTTATGGAAATTCAGCCATATAGCGTCCTGTCTCATGTGACAGATAAAAAAGTAAAAAACAGTAATACAAAACCAATCAGAAATATTAGAATTATGAGTAAAAGGCAAGGAGAGGAAACAGATATTAACATCAGCAGAGCCCCCTCAACAGTAATGATACGTAGGTAGGTAGATGGGAGGGAGGGAGATGTTATGAGCATAGTATGTGCTCACTTAAGCACATGGGGAGCAGTTCCCCACAATTGTGTAGCTCACCCCTCTACTGTTTACAGCCCTTGATATACTTTCCTGGAGGCAGCTTAGTCATCAGGGTGAAACAGATCCACATCCCCACTTTCGGGGATACATTTACTGTATAAAAACAAAAATGTGTGCTGTGAGAAATCAGATGTCAGATATTGTGTAAAAGACCTTATATTTGCTCAAAAGGAAAAGAGAATGCCTTTCTTTTTCTTCTTCTAAACATAAGAGAACATTTTCTGTAACTATCAGACACAACAGTATTCAAGTTTAGATTTTGGTCTAAAAATCCAGTCAGCACTCTGTCTTGTTTGTTTGTTTGTCATGTGTGGACTTTCATCTAATCCTTCTCCTGTTCTTTTCTTACAGCCACCTACTCGCAAAATACCAACAAAAGTGCGATGATATCCTTTTATGCATTAAAAAAAAACTGCAGGGCCTTGCTTTATTGTTGGAAATCTCAATTCTAGCATTTTCAGCAGTGGTGTCGGAAACTTCTAATAAGTGATGGAAGTATTTTGAGGGAAAACTGAAGTGCATATGCTATGCATTTTATTCATTCATTATGTATTTTATTCAGACTTCTGAAATCTTGCTGGTGTAATCTGCCTGGGCTTTGATTACCCAGAGTTGCATCAGGTAGCTAGATAAGGAGCAGCGGCCACAACAACTTTAGTAGAAAGCATATGTCTTGTTTCCACGACAATGAGAGTGTGGTGTTTTTGTGGGGAGGGGGTATTTGATACAAAGCCTCCATAAAGTGAGACCCACTAATTATTGTAGTGTTCTGGCTCTTCAGTCATCAAGCTAGATGATGACTTCAAGATAACTTTTTTAAAAACATTGAATGCTGATACTTTTATACCAAATTTAAAATGCATGTCTGCTAGTAAAGAAGCAGGGATTAAGGGAAATAACCCACCTTTTATCCATTCACAAATCCATGAATCACTACTAGTTATCCAGATGTCAGCCAAAAGTCCCAAAAGGGATTTCAGAATTTTATAAATAAATGTTGAACCTAATCAAACCAGTCAACTTTGAATTCCTTCCTTTGGCTTGTAACAGTCATGATCCTTAATTCATTCTGTACTGTCATAGGATTTAATCTCCCTTCAATTCTTCTCTCTCCCATTTCAAAGGTATCTTTTAAGATTTTAACAACCTTCATTTCTTAATTCAGGCAGCACCCCAAGTTCCTCATTATGCTTTCTCTCATTATTATGGATTCACACTTTCGAGAAACCTGTTCTCTTTTAAGAGAATTTATTTTTTCCCCTTTTTCTTGCTCTAGCATATGTAGCAAAGATAATTCTGTATGTCCTGTTTTCTTTAATAAGTCAGCACAGCTTCAGTTTGCTAAAAGGTAAGAATTTATTCTAATTCAATTTTCCATTGTTCGGAGTTGTCTGAACTTCTGGGTATTAATAGTTGTATGTTAAATTTGAATTTACCGATAAAGAATTAAAGGAAGACCAGGAAAAACAATTAATAGTTGTTATAGTGTGACTCTTCCCCAAGCAATACAGCATGACAAAATAGCATGTCATAGCATGACAATTAATCTTTGAATATAGTGTAGGATATTCTGGCTTATTGCTTCTTTGGGCCTTTGACAAAAGAAATGCACAAAACAGAATTTCAGTTGAGTTTTAAGTTTTGTTTTCTTTTGTTTTTCTAATATTTTTAAAGCCATGTTTTCTTTCTGTAAAGTTTCCTGTGTCCCTTTCAGTGAAAACAATACGCTTCATCACCAAGTGGAACAAATGTTCCAGAAAATATCACCTCTGGAAAAGTGTCAAGAAGAGCTGGGATCTGTAAAAGCAGAGCTGGAAGAGAAAAGGGTAGCTTTCTCTTTTTGAAATAGAGATCCATATTATTTAGAGACACTGCATTTTTGTTTGTTCTTTTTAATATTGTAACAGACTGTGACTTGTGCCTGGAAATCTATGCATAAAGTTTTGGTTAAAAAAAAAATACTTAGGAATTTGCATCCCTTGGTCCCGTAGTAAGTCATGTTTAGTAAAGAAGACTAGGACTTGAAAAGTTAGCTTGCACTCATTTGTTGGCTAGCAGCTTTAAATTATAACTCTGTAATTATGATTGTATATTATTTGCATCATCTCATGCCTAGTACATTGCTGGACTTCTGGTGAGGAACATACAGGCTATTCCATGAGGACTGTTACCAGTGAAGATTAGTGAGTGGATGGGTGACTTTAGTCATGGATTTTTATTTCATTAGCAGTTCCACAGGCCTCCTTTTGCCCCATCTTTAAATGTAGCATGAACACTTCAATGCTTTTGGGATGCACATTGACAAACTAATATAGGCCACCATAGGCACCAAATTAAAAAATAAACATGTTAATGCCTTATCGCTGATAAGTAATAGTAATGCGAGGTTTTGCAGGGCCATAGTATCAATTAATAAACATAGATGAATTGTCCAAAAGATATATGAACACAGAAATTTCCATCTATATGCTTATACATACATAGATCAACAATGTATTCATGTCGTCTTTTTTTAGAGTTCACTTAAGATATACCAAGACACTCAACTGGAATATGTTCGAGTGAGAGAAGAAATGGATAAAAGTGACAGTGTGTGAGTCATTATAATGGAACTAACTAATGGATGTAGAACTGCATTTGCCTTCTTTTTAATTAAACATTCAAATAATCATCCAAGCTCTTCCTATAATTTTAGAGGTAAAAAGAAAGACAGAGAGAGAGGGGGAGAGAGAGATGGACCTTCCTTGACAGATTAGATAAAGAAGGAAAGAATTGGTTAATATTCTTTTACATTAGCGAGACCAGAACATATGCCAATTTTTTATAGAAAAAGAAATGCAATTCCTATAAAGGGAAGCATACCACTTAGGGAACTATTCCATGCAAAATGGAGACTTTCTGATGACTCAATCCCTTTTTGCGTAGATTGCCTCCTCTTCTGTGAAGATTGTGTAACCAAATAGTTTTTACTTGGTGAGAGAAGTAGATTTAATTCTGTACCCTCCACTAGTTCAGAGAAGCAAATATCTCAGGCTAGTTGCCAACCAGGTTAGCAAGTTTTCTCCCCAATTTTCCTTCCTGTTTCTCTTGATGAGTTTATTTATGCTGTGAGCAGTCTTTAAATAGGGATGTGCAAAATATTTGAAAGGACCCCTCAATAAAGCATGCTAACACATGCAAAGCATCTGTCCTTGAAGTGTGTCTCTGAGCATGCACAGATAACACTTCCAGTAGTACCACCAGAATAACAAAGTGAGTATGCATATGGAACACATGCAGATAGCTCAGAGTAGCTTTTGAAAATTTTCAAATGACATGGTTGCTTTGCTGCTAAAAGAATAGGTACTTCACTCACCCTTACAGAACAACATCCCTTTTTTAATGGTTCCACAAATCCAATTGTTGTTATCCATAAAGAAGACTGTGGGCAGGCAACAGCTCATAAAGCTAACCAAATTGTGAAATAGTATTAAATCTAAAATGCAATTTTGAACTAAACATAATAGATTACATAAATTAAACAAAACCAACAATATATATTGAAGAAGTTCTTTGCTCGTTTTTCACATATGTATTTTAAAATTTTGTTTATTTTTATACTTCCAGAAAGAAAAAATTAGAAATTAAAGTGAAAAGGCTTGAAGGTATTTTAGTCTTTATTATTGCTGGGTTATGTTTCATAATCATAACACAAATGTATAATTGGGAAAAGATATTGAAATACACAAAAAGAGATTTTGGCCATAAAATTGAACTTGTTTCTCAAACTCATCTCATTTTCATCCCTATGTAAATATATTTAATGCAGTGCTATGCAGTATATAGAGGGTTAAAGGATCCATTTACTAATGTTATCCATTGTCTTAATTATCAACATTAATAAAGGAAAAAGGTGGAAAGCTAAAATGCTCTTAACATTCTTCAGAGAGAAGAAAGTGGAACATTCTCTCACTGATTTGTCTCTCTGGCAAAAAACTGAAGCATTGCTGCAAAGACAAATCCACAACAATTGTCGTCAACTTAGTTCTTCCTTCTTTAGTTTAAATTGAAAAAGTAGGTGTGAAATAAGGTGGGATTCACTGTAACCCAGTGTGTCCCATATCTAGGAAAATTATCCAAAATTAGATAAAAGTGTTTTGTTTTTGTTTTTTTCTTTAATGACATACGAACCAATTACCCAAATAGAACAAAAATATTTAAATTAACTTAAAGTGTGTTACCTACATTGAGCAAAAAAAAAAAAAACAACTTTCTGATAAATGGTTTTGGGTAATAAAGGAAAAAGTTTGGGAAACGCTCCTTTAACCCATATGTAAGGAAATAAATTTCAGTGGTCTAGAACAGGGCTTTTCAATCTTTTCACCGACTGTACCACTTTTAGGATATGGCAATATCCGAGTACCACCAGTCGCCTAGCAAGGTGTCAAAAACTTGATGACCAAAAAAAAAAAGGAAAAAAGTGATAAAAGTACAGGTGGTCCTCGACTTACAACAGTTTGTTTAGTGACTGTTTGAAGTTACAATGGCACTGAAAAAAGTGTCCCCCAAGCCACAGCCGAGCAAGACACGTGCCTGCCCACCTGGTGGTGCTCTTCCTCCTGTCCGAGGTTTTCATTGTTGAGAGCATTTCTGTTGAGGATTGACAGCGGGGGTGGGGGGGGTGTTTGGTTTTTATTCTCCCCGCCTGCTGGGTGGTTGCAGCAGGTTTTGGTCACTTCACATGACCCTGGGACACTGTGACCACCATAAATATGAATCAGTTGCCAAGCATCTGAATGTAAATCACAAAACCCTGGAGATGCTGCAACATTCCAGCTGATTGGTGCTTCCTCAGGGCTCAGCAGAAGTGCCAGGATCAGTGCTGCTTTCCAGCTGATTGGTGCTTCTTCAGGGCTCAGCAGAAGCACCAGGAGCAGCGCCGAGCTCCAGCTGCAGCCTGGAGCTGATCCTGGTGTTTCCACTGAGCCCTGACAGCCCCAAAGAAGCGCCGATCAGCTGGAAAGTGGCACTGATCCCGGCGCTTCTGCTGAGCCCTGACAGCCCTGCAGCTCCAGCCATCTCTCGTTCAGGCTTGTGCGGTGCTGCCACTGGTTCAGCTCATTCCCCTCCCCTGCTACCACTTTTCTAGGATGGTCGCGTACCACCTGCCAGGTGCCAATGTAACACAGTGATACGCGTACCACTGGTTGAAAAGCCCTGGTCTAGAAGTCATAAAAGAGAACTTCCTTTTTATGGAGTTCTTGGTATTCTCTAAACTTGGTTATTTGCTTGCAGGCATTTCATTACCTAATTAACTAACATCAGTGCAAGTACATGTAGGGCTTGCTCCCTATTTATACACAGTAGCTTACCCTGCCAACAATACCCTAATCAAGATACAAGCAGAAAAACCACACCCCCATCCAAACTCGTTGTGATAACCCATTGGGTTTAAGAGTAGGAGATCAGGCGACACACCCCTTAAAAGATAGATGGCTGCAGCAGGAACTGCCACGGATATGCCCACACTTATAGGGTGAAGCCAAGGTGTGAAGAAGGTTTCTGGGTGATGAAGTTTGAAAACCTCTAGTTGTGTGGTTCAGCCAAATCACTGTGAGCAGTAATTTCAAATTGGGTTATCCCTGGAGATCTAGTACAGAGTCTGAGAATGCAAGCACCTAAATGCTTTTTTCCTCTGATACATATTTGGAAAGCATAATTACTTTTATGTGGAAACAGATTGCAATATTTGGAGAACTTAAATTAATAAGTGTTAGTAATTAATTTTGTGTATATGTTAGCAAACATTAACACCAAATTTTAGGTCCATTTACTTGTAATTAAGCTCCTATTCACTGAGTCTCTCCATGCAATACATATCTGCTTGAAAGTTAAGGAGCAAACTAAGACTGTTTATCAAATTCCATTTATGTTGTTGAGAAACCGCAGGGTGCTTGAGATTGAATTTACAATTGCCTTAATCCAGGTAGTTCTTGCTTACTGACTGCTCATTCAGCCATCGTAAGTTATGACAGTGCTGAAAAAGGAAGTTTATGACAGTCCTTAAACTTGTGGCCATTGTCACGTCCCCGTGATCAGGTGATTGCAATTCAGGCCCTTGACAACTGTCACAGCTGACTTCCAACAAGCAAAGTCATTGGGGAAGCCAGCAAGAATTCACAGATCATAGTTACATGATGTTGCATTTAATGACTGCAGTGATTTGCTTAATAATCACAGCCAGTAGTCATGCACAGTTACATGGTGCTTGCTTTACGTCCAAATCACTTAATAACAGAGTTGCTGGTCCCAATTGTGGTCACTATATATATGCATATTTGAGTTATATTTTAATGAATTTGATTAGATAGTGACTAACCTGAAATCTCAATCTACATATTGCATTCTGAAAATGTATAATGTAAACATTATGACCAATATTTGTATTTTAGGGTCTGTCAGGAAACTTTGGAAGAAGTACTGATGTTTAAGAAATATCATTCTGGATATGCATTTTGCATATTTATCATATAACTTATTATATGTAAGCAGTTTCTTTCAGATACTTTTATTCACTAAGAATCATTTTGTTTTGTGAGACCACCAAAAAGGCACTCCAAGAACATGGAGTTTTTTGTTTATACATTTGGTGAAAAGCTGTGGAACTGATGTCTGCTGTTCACGTTTTACTGTGACTCTAACAAAGCAAAACTGTACACACATCCAGTGTGATGAAATCCTAATGAAATACATACTGGTATAGAGCTCAGTGTTGCAAACTGTGAATAAATATTAGAAGGCTAAACCAAACCGAAAGGTACTAACATCCAAGTGCACTGATAGATTGTTGCCATAATTTTGAAAGCTGTCTGTGTTGTTTAATGCATTTTTATTACTTTGTTTCCTTAAATGAAGACGCCGCAGCAAAGCACACTCAGGAATTTAAACAACTGAAAGCAGAGAAGAAAGTACTTGAGAGGGAATTGAAGAAAGCACAGGTAACTTTTTAAACCAATAGTTTACATATACAGTTTTCTTTTTTAAAAAAGACTAAAGTGTGTAGTATTGTTGTAAGTCGTCACTTAACATGACAGGTATTTAATGTGTTCTAAGATAAGGAATGAATGTTGTCAGGAGTCATTTGGGACATAAGAAGGTCTTGTACCCTCTTGGGCACAATTCCCACAACTGAAGGATACCTTCCATTGCTCCTCACATTTGTGTTAGGCATGCATATTATTTTGGTAAGTTTACTAATGCAAGAAGGACTGAAGCTGTGGAACTGAACTGTTGGATTTATAGCTTCTTATTTTTGTGGTCAGTGTGGCAAGAGAAATATCATCTGCAGAAATGATAGTTATTTCAGCTAACTGCTTTGTGATGATAATGGTAATATTTGAAAAATATCCAGGATGCATGGATACCACATACCACAGCCTTAAATTTGGATGGGCAAAGAAAGAAGCAAAATGCATGACAAACTAGACTAGAGGGAGGTGGTAGCAAAGACCATGGTCGCAAAGACCAACTGTTTAACCATTTAACAATTGTAAGAATAAATTGCCCTAAACTGGATGTTTCTAATTTGATATTATTCATGTAAAGTAGCATTCTTTAACAATCTTTCCCGGGTGTGTTGTGATTACAACTCCCAGAATTCCTTCCCAGCATAGCTTATTGCCATTCTGGTAGAAATTCTGAGAAGTATATTTCAAAGGCATCTGAAGACTGACAAAGACCACTTTGATGTTTTTAGTAGTTCACAGGAAAACAAAATCAGACATCGTTTTCAGTGTCACTACCGCAGAGTGTGTACATCCATTAATTTAAATTGCTTTTCTCCGCTTTTTGATTAATAGGAAAAGATTGATGGCTTCTCTAACACAAAGCAAAAGAAAGGTGACTTTTCATGATTTGTTTCTCTTTTGGTGGGGAAGGAAATATTTTATTTTGATTTAATTTTTAATTTGATATAGCTGCTTCTCTTTCCTCTCAGTGTTGAAAAATGCAGAGACCCAGAGTGAGAGTGAGAATTTGGTAGCAAACGTGGACAAAGGTTAGTATATGTAAGTCTTGCATATATTGCCGTTGATTATTCTTCTGTTCTTTGGTAACTGGTATAGTTGGATTATTCAGTAGAAGGCTCTGATGCTTTGGTATGTATGGATTGTCAGGTTTTCAATCAGCCTATGTATCTAGGCTCTCTAGACACTTAATCCCCTTATTTAGGACACAGTCTCTTTATCACAGGCATGATGAAACCATACACACACACCGAGATGATTTGCTCAGAAGACAAATCTTTCTGATCCACAGTGTGAATGCTAGGGCTTTTCCTCCCACTTTTCAAACTCAATGGTTACTTAGCCATTCTCCTGATGACCCTCGAAATCACCTAACCTACAATGATATAGTGGTTCTCTTTAGCATGGGAACCATTGGTTCCTGCCTGGCCAGGTTAATTCTTTGCAGGAGGACCACAAATTGGAGATTTTCCAAGGGCTGCAAAGGATTTCTTGATGTAACATTTATTGTGTATTCCACCACAATGTTAAAATTATTGAAACATTGAGAGTGAAATGCAGGATAAAGAGGTTGTCCCACTGTTCACCTGAAAGCAAGAGCACAAGTGTACAGATTGTGAAGATAATGAAGAGTTAAAAGCATTGGAACACAAAGAGAAATCAGTACTTTACCCCATTTTAGAAAAAAACCCAGAGTGATGGTAGAAAACTGGAAGACATCGTAAATAACAAGCATGGCAAAGAAGCAATGTTTGGAGATACGTTATGAAGCTAGTGGAGAAATTTGGGAAGGAAGAATGTAAGGAAGTGGCAGATAGAAATTATTTGATATTTTAGGAATGAAATCATTGGTCCTATCAACTTTTTGCACAAAATCAGTTATCTGAGATTTTTAACAAGTGACAGTGTGATGATTGGACATTCTGTGCTGAGTTTGCTCTGTTTGAATTTAACACAATAAAAAATGTCTGCGAGAGACAGCAAGCTGTAGAATTAATTAAAAATAATAAAACTATTTAATTTCTTGCCATTTATAAGTGCAAATCATTACCTATGAAAGCAAACATATAAAAGTTGTTAATTTTTAAAAATTCTTCTAGCGCGTCTGCCAAAACAAGTATCTTTTATGTACATGATAATGTCTGAGGGAAAATGAAGGAAAAGGTGTTCTTTCAAATGCTTTCCTGCTTAGTCAACTTAAAGTGAGCTTTTTTCCTTATCCCAGGTGATATGGTTTAAATTTATTTGTTTTTTTTATATGCAGGTAGTACAGAACATAGTAATTTGAATGCTAAGAAAAAAAACAGGTTAAAAATTATATTTTATTACATTTCTGGGTGCGTTATTTAGTTAATGAAGAGACTAGCAGAAATTACAAGGAAATGATGCACTTTAAATTGACGTGCTTGACTTCTTGGTATTGTTTATCATACCAATAGCCTGAATTCTCCAAGGAGGTGCAAAACTCAGGAGAGTTGTAGAAAAGGAAAAAGAGTCTTATGACTTAACACTTAGATAAAATCAAAATTATATAGGAATAAATGTTTATACACATAAAACTGAGTTCTGATTTTGTGTTTAAATATTTATTTTCATATTTATTTTGGACTTCTCTAGGATCCCTTAATTAAGCCTTATGTGTACTGCAAACATAGATCTATATTCCATGATGCTATTGTTACTGGAAATCTCTTGTTTCTTATACCCATCTTCATTGCTGATTAAACTGTATAAAAGAAAAACATTTTATTTGTGACAATGACTTTTATATCTCCATTAATTATATATGCAAGAAAGTCCAGTGGAAAGAACTTACTGGGGTTTAGGATGTCTGTGATTTTCCATTCTTTTTGTTAATGTGTTATACTTTAGGCCTTGGGCATTGACTTTTTGATCATCAACATCTTTTTTTTTTTTTCAAACTTCAAAAAGTGGCTTTCCTGAATTGTGTATATTCTACACATATGCCCTTTGTTTGGCGTATTTATTGCATATCTTAACATTTTGGAGATATGCTTCATATTTTTGTTTAGAGACATAGCACAATTATCCACCTGAATTTTTCTTTTTATCTGTGTTTTGGATTGCATATATGCCATGTCCCAGCATATCAAACCACATGTAAACATTATAATGATGTGGATTTATTTTACAGAAAAAATTAAATTTCTGTTGGAAGAGCTTTGGCAGTGTATAGAAAGCTCTACAGGAAAAAAACAGATCAACAAATGTGAGCGTGCATTAGGTGAGATCAAGTACCAGTGTTTTAAAGGAAATTTAAAGTAATTAAAAAAAATTCTCATATTTTTAATCTTAAGTAACACTCGTTTATGCTTTTTTTTCCTCCCTCTCTATCTAATTGCTGGCTTTCATGTTCCTCCAGAAACTTGTAGAAAGACAAGTAAGTAATTTCCAAACGTATTTATTTATTATTAATTAAAGAAACCTGTATAGCCTCCCAACTCAAACACAGCTTAGAATAAAAAATTAAAATGCAATATTCTCCCTGTTCACTTTTACATTTGTTTATCTGTTTCCTGTCTGCCATTCTTCTGTCTTCCCTTCTTTCTCTCCAACCTACTCATCTTGGTGTTTTGTTCTTTCTGTGTATTTGCTGTCAGTTTTTTATCGTGTGCCAGTCTTGTGTATCTGGTTCTGATTTATTATTTATTTATTTATTTATGAGACTTATATACCGCTTTAAGTGCAAGTACTCTCTAAGCGGTGTACACCAGTAAGCAATGTATATATATATATATTTACATTGCCCCCAACAATCTGGGTCCTCATTTTACCTACCTCGGAAGGATGGAAGGCTGAGTCAACCTTGAGCCGGTGAGATTTGAACCGCTGACCGCTGACCTGCTGAACACAGTCAGCTAAAGTGGCCTGCAATACTGCACTCTAACTGCTGCACCACCTCAGCTCTTTTTGCATTGTAATCTGCCCCTCTGTGTTTCTTTGTCTAAAGAGAAAGGCAGAGACAGAAATCAAAAAACCCTTAAGAATGTGGGATTATGCCAAGATATTCTTTGAACATGCCATACATACCCACAGTTCCCCCATAGCTATCAATACTTAAGAAAGATCAGCACTAACACTCTCTTCCTTGTCACTTCTGGGAGAAACAATCATATTAAGGGATTCCATCCTACTTGGTTAGAGTTCTTTTGATCTGTGGAGATAAAACTCTGGAGTAGAGATAATAATAATGTGATCCTCAGGCTTGATCTCTGCAGAAATGGGATTTTATGTTGTTTACAGTCAAAAATGCCTCTTTGCTCGAAAGATGTTTTCTAGTGAGCTTGTATATTGCAGTAGCTTTATAGTGCTACTATAGTGTGCATATATTAATATGAGACAGGCTCCTGAGAGTGGGAGGAATGGGCAGTCCTTTCATTTTTCTTTACAAGAGTAACTAGTGAAAAATGAAAGAGTTTATTTGGAGACAGCACAGGAATGTTTCCTTCTATAGGTGACACTAACCTTAACATCTACTCCTATATATAATTCGCTCTTGGAATTCAAAGGGGAAGGGAAATATCTTTTGGCTAACAGTCTTAACAACTGGCACAAATCATTTTGAAAAGTATATTTTTGCTATCCTAAACTTCCAGGGAATGGAAATAAAATACATCACAGTTTTTGTTTTTGTTTTTTTGTCTTATAGAAAGAGGGCAGAATCCTGAAAAAGTGAAGAAATCTGAAGAAGCATGGGGTTCTATTTTTTCATCAGAGCCCTTTACAATGCGAACATCTCCAACATCACTGAAGATACAGGCGGACAAAAAAAATGCTGGAAATAGTCACCTGATAGAAAACAAACTTATGGAGACTACTAAAGCGAACAACAGTGATATTTCTGATGAAGACAGATGTCTAGATGGTTTTGCTGAAGCAGATTTTGCAACAAGTAACATGGAACTTCTCAACAAGGAACAGGAAGAGTTTGGTGAAAGTCTGCGAGATGTTTTGAAATGGATTAGTCCTCTTCCTCCTCTACTGTCACCCATACAGTTTTCACCTGCTACTACTCCGGTAAGTTCCAAAAGGGGAATAAAATTAAATATTTAACTTATTTAACTTCAGAAATCATGTCAAGACTGCTCTGGCTGGAGATAATTGTTGACTAAAAGTAACGTGAAAAAGACATTGACGTCTCTGATGAGCTTCTAGCCAGCAGTTGTATCGGGTAAAGAAGTTTTATAAGTTTCAAGAATGAACTTCTTTCTTGGGAAAAAAAAGAAACTTTTTCAAAGACAAGAATTTCAGAATTTGAATAGATACTTTTTTTCTATAGAGATAGTGATGAAATTGATACAACAGAATTAGTGCATGTGGAACAAAACATATTTCAGTTATATCATTTGCAACTATCCAAGCAAAATTTGTTGACATGTGCCTAGATTGTTTCAGAGAACTCCAAAATGTTCCTTTTTTCCTATGGACTCTGCTGAAATTCTTCCAGATTATGTTATTCTGGAGGCAGATCATATTTTCCAAAATAAAATGTTGTTTATCAAAAATGGATTAAAGTATTTTGGACACAATATTCCAGATGAAATAAGCCTGTTCCAGTGCCACATCAGCCCAGAATATTTCTAAGCCCGTGGTGGCGAACCTATGGCATGTGTGCCACAGATGGCAAACAGAGCCCTCTCTATGGGCACACAAGCCATTGCCCCAGTCCTAGGCCTTCAGCTGGGTTTTATAAAACCTTTTTGCTTTAGGTCTCTGCCATCGTGTGAAAAAAAAAGCTTCAATCAATCAATCAATTTCAACTTGCGGGGGGGGGAAAGTTCTCGCAAAGTTGGAATTGACTGATTGAACTTTTTAGTCTCACCCAGTCTGCCGTTACCACCACAGCCACGCCCACCCAATGGGGCCACGCCCACCCGGCACCGGACAATACATAAGTGGGTTTTGGGTTGCAATCGGTCTCTAAAAGGTTTGCCATCAGCATTTCTGATATTTAAGCAATATACTTCTCAGGCTAAGTTTTGTAACAACTATACATTATTTATTACTACATTGATATTTACATTTTTCTCTTTAAGGACACTTTATTTGGAGACATCACAGACTCCAGTGATGATGAAATGGAGCAGAATGCACAAACACTTGAAAATATTATGGACAAATATGATGAGGACAAACCAGCATCTAAAACTTTGCATTTGACAGAATTTTGCTCACATGTTTTAAAAAAGACTCACCTACAGGAATCACATGAAAGATCAAAAAAATTAGAAAATGAAGCATCAGTGCTTTCGTCTGACTCTATGCTCAGAACATCAGAGTACCTTAATGAGAACAATACTAAATCAAAGACTGAAGAAAAGCACCTAAAAGAAGATTCTGACTTTGAACAAATACACACAGCCCCTGAAATAATATCTCCCAGTACAGAGAAACTCAGTGAAAACATGATTAGCAAAATAGAAACAAAAGGCCAAATCGTCATTGGACATGTGCTGGAAGAAACTAATGATTTCATTCAAAAGGAGGAAAAGAAAATGTTAATTGAAACAGAAGATGATTGGGATCAAGAACCCAAAGGCAGTGAAGAACAGCAAACCAAAGAACTGATGTTAACTGCTGAAAAAACACCAGTGGCTTCTAAAAATGCGAAGGATCCTTCTAATGATAAAGAAGGAAGAGTGATGGAAAGTGTTTTTGAGGACCTCCAGACAGAATCTTACTCAGGAAAAGCAAGCCTACTCTGTGAAAAGCGCATTGAACATATAACAGTAAAAGAACAAAATGCGGCAACTGAAAGAAGTAATGAACCATTAATAGAGGGAAAAAAGAATGACAGTAATTCTAAATTCCTCCCCAAAACAAATCTTTGTGAAAGAGTCCAGCAACCAGGTACATGTACAGAATCTATTGAAAAGAATATTGATTCTTTAGAAGCATCCAACAAACCTCATTCTGTAGTGGAGATATGCAACCAACAAAATGGAAGCGAGGTAAATGAACAAGTTTTGAGACCAAATTCAGACATTGCAACGTTAACTGAGGATTTGGAACAATCCTATCAGGGCAGCAAAATAATTAAGGCCATGAATGATGGGCCTAGAAAAAATGTGTCTGATGGAGCTAGTGAGGGAATAAAGTTAGAAGATATACCAAAGGAAGGACAATTAGAATGGTTACTTGATGAAAAAAAATCTATTAAATCAACACAAGGGGAATTAACTTGCAAAAGCAATACCAACAAGTTACCAACCCAAGCCTCTACTGCTGAAGACTCTTCATTGAAGTCTGAGGGATTTATTGAAGCAAGTCAGGTGTCACTTGAATTACACAATGTCACTGAAAATGCTCCACAAGTGGGGCATGTTGAAAATGCAAACATTACACCCAAGAACATGACCACAGTAGAAAGAACTGGGAATAGTTTAAATAGTAACGTGGAAGAATTAAATCCGCTAAGAAAAAGGCTCATAGAGATAAATTGTGAAGCAAGAAAACTCACTGAAGTGGAAACTATACAATCTCTTAAAGCAGGATTATGTGAAAAAGATTCACCTAATCTGATACATGGACATTCACAAATTGAAAAAAATAGTGCAATGATCATAAATGAACTACCTGATACAAAAAAGTATGCCATGGAAGAAAAAGGGCTGAATTATGATTGTTCTGCATCAAATGAAGTAGCTTCAGTACAGAACATGAGCAGTGATACAGTTCAACCGATGCAAAATGTGTCACAAAGAAAAAATGGAGAAATTGAATCAGCCTTTTCGGTTATTATGATAGATGATTCTGAGGCAAATATGGAATCGGTGGATGTTGCTCTTTCCTCCTCTGACAGAGAAAATGCTGATTACATTGATCAACATAATTCTGAGGAAAATTTGAAGAATAAAAAGTCAGAAACTGTGGAATCTGAGGGAGACAACTTGTTGAATCTGAGAGATATAAACTGTGATGATCACAATCCTAGTAATAAGAAAGATGAAGTGGACTTTGAACAAGACAAAAATCATGACACTTTCAACAACTTTCAACAGGCATCAGTTACTATTAAAAGTTGCAGTAGAGAAAACTCTGAAATGCTGTCTTCTGATGCATATTGTCCAAACAATATTAACAGCGTAGATACTTCTACAGAAAAAAAATTGCTGCTGAATCATGAGGAACTTCTTATTCCCAAGGATAAGAATTTAGACACACGGTCAAGAAATGATACTGTAAAAAATATCAATGAAAAAACAGCTAAAGAAACAGATACTGTATCGAGGACTGAAATAAAGTCTAGAGGAATAGATGAAATAAGTATGTTAGAAAAGTCTGTTTTAATGGGGAATTCCTCTGTGTCAGATTCATCAGAGGAAGAATTTTATCCATTAAGAAAAGTGAATTACACAAAAACACACCAAGGATGTGCAGTGTCCAGAGGTATACCTTGTTCAACTAAAAACTGTGAAGCTAGTCTTCCACCCAGTATGACTTCTTCAGATGGCATAAGACATGAGATGTTCCCTGGGGTCAAAGGAGAGGAATTCTCTAAAGATAGAAAAGCTGAAGTAGGTGACACTGGCTCCTCTACAAATGAAGTGATTGAAAAGACATGGGAACATTCATATGCAGCAATATGGCCCTGCACTAATGAAAATACAACCTTAAAAATAGAAGCATCCTCAGCAATAGAAAAGTTAGAAGAGAACCAAACAGAAGAAAATGCTTCCGTAATTACTTTATTGCCAAGTCAGGATTTATATAACAAGAAAACTATCTCTGCGAAGTCATCTGTGAGTGATCCAGATGTTAATGATGATACAGTTGTACTGCATACAAAATACCCTAATGATAGGCAAGTCGACTCTGATTTACTTGTAGAAAAATCCATTATGGAACTAAAAAGGAGCGTTTCCACTTCAGAATCCAGCTCAGGTACAGACCAAAGTTGCATCATGGCTTGTCACATTGATGATGGTAGTGATGCATCCCATTACAAGAGGCATGATATAAATAATGATAAAGGAAGTGTTGCATCTATGACCAACAGGACATCCATATCACCTATCTCTGAGTCTTCCAACTCTAATAATAAACTACAAAAAGTGCTATCAGAAAAATTGGAGCCACCGGTTGCTTCTGCAAAGAATAGAGCAGATCAGACATTCAGCACTTCAGAGCCTGTCATGATTAAAGCACAGGAAGAGATTAATGATAGTGATGATGGCCATCTCCAGAGCATATCTATCTGTAAGAGAAAAAGGGAAAATCAGCCCACCCTACCAGCTGAAACCATTCTAGCCAATGTAGATACTTCTACACCAACTATGTATGATCCAAAAACTTTATCAAAAATTATGCAAGAGATGGGTCCACCATTACCTCCATTGCTTCCACCTTTGCTAGCTACCCCTCCAAGAACTGCTCAACGCATTTCCCCTGTAGCATCAATTTCAAGCCAATCTTCCTTACCATCTCCACTTGATGAATTGATTTCTCCTTTACATAAAACTCCAGTTCCTTCTCTAACATCAACACTGTCAGAGACCCCAAAATGCAAGTCATCATCATCATCGTCTTCTTCCACTTTGTCATCCTCTGAAATGTCAGTAGGTCAGAGAAGTTTATCATCCCCTCTTCGGTTTTGTTCCAACACTCCTAAACATGCCCTTCCCGTTCCAGGTCGGCTGCCTTCTACACCTAGTAATTCTGTTCCATCTGTGCCTCAGGAAAACTCAGTGGAAATTTTGGACAGTATGTATCCAGAATTATCTGCTCGGGCAAGAACACTCAATATCCTGAAAGGTAACATTCAGTTTAATAGGTCATCTTCTGTAGATGGGAAGGGTAGCCATCAAATCGGTGGCTTTAAAGCAATTGCTTCCACATCAACTGCTTTTGTAAAAACAAGGATCAGATTTAAATCTGATCCAGAGAAGCTGCTCTCCAATGTGAATGAGACTGGGAAAAGGAAATTGCCATCTGTGAGTATGCCAAAGAGTGTCAAAAGACCATGTTTAGATAGCAGCAGGTCATCAACACTGAACTCCTGCTCAAAAGAGCTCTCAGAGGGTGACCTACAGTGCATTCCTGATGGTGACTCACTGGACAACGAGAATGCTAATAAGTCAACAGCTGACTGTAATTCAGAGTCACTTTTGGAAATGGAGAAAACAGAGGATCCTGATATGTCGGTTGTGATTCTAGCATTGGAAAAAATTTCTGAAGCTTGTTTTGACCTGTTGCCTGTTATTCGTAGCCGTGTTCTTGTTGGTAATACATCAAAGGTTCCAATAATGAGAGATGAAGAGAAAGAAGTTGTTTATGAACTTGCTGTTAAAAAGAAGGTCAGCTTTATATTTAAATATATATATATTAAAAACATGTTTTCATTTATTAAAGGAAATTGTGAAAAAAACCTGTTTCTGGAATAATACAGAGCCTTAGTCATGCTAGAAGAGGCATTTAAGGGCTTGTTTGATGATGTATCATTGATTTTTAATTGAAGATGTGTATTGCTTCAGTTAATGATACGGAGATTTTTTTTAATCAATCATAGCTATTATACATAGATATTTAGGTCCCAATGGTGCTTTTTCAAAAGGCAACTGGACTTTGTTTTTCTTTGAAGACGTTTCTTCAAGGAAGCTTCTTGGATGAGAAATGAAACATCTTCAAGGAAAAACAAAGTCCAGTTGCCTTTTGACAAATCCCCTTTGGGACGACCATGACCTGGATGACTGAGAATCTCCATAGACATAGATGTTTAGGGGTTTTGCTTAAACCAACATTTCTCTTTCTCTCATTACTACCTCAGAGAATCTATGAGTTGAGGTCCTAATCCAACATTAGCATTATTGTCGATTACCTTTTTAACTCCTATAAAAGGAAATAACAATACTTCCTTGGAGGCATTGAGGTTATAGACGTCCCCATAAATCCAATGTGCATTAAAGAGTGCTGTGCAGAGCAGCTTTCCGTCCATGAAAATTTCAGTTAGAGAAAGGAAGTGCTTTGCTTAAAATGCCTATCCCTCCTTTGAATTTTTTGCCCACCCCCCCTTGGCTATATCACACATATCAAAGATTGGCCTGCCCTATTGTTTGAGATCTACTGTGTAACCTAAAGGTCAAAACCTTGGTGTGGGTTATTGTTTTATAGATCTTAATTAGTTTAGCTTAACTTTTTAATTTTTGTTGATACATAGTTCTTTAGAATGTATTTTGCATGAATTCCATATTGTTTAGGTGGCAGGATAACAGTTGTTCGATTAGACATATGCGAAGGGTTTCCTAGAGAATCAAATTCATAGAGCATGTACTCTAGCTTGATCTATTCTGAAAAGCAGTGGCTTTTCAACCCCCCAGGTAGAAATCACTTCTAACTGGAGATGTTTGGGAATGAACCGTCCAGAGCCCCCTTCTCACCACCCAGAGCCCCTCCCTGAGAAAGATGAGCGGTTAAGAAGTATGGAATATAAATCAATCAATCCATCTTTTGCATATAATGTTTATATAGTACTACTAAGATATGGCGTTCCCCAGAACCATCTCTCTTTTTCGGTCTCTTATTCATATATCCCACCCATGTCCAGCACAAATTGCATCAGTTTTGAACCAAATTATCCAGAAAGGGCTAATTTTTTTAATAATCAATGACTTGATGTAAAAACCCTAATTTGAAGCTAAAGATCATAATGGGAATAGGAGATGATACAATAATGGCTATTAAGTAGGTATAGCCAAAGTTCATAGGAATCATTTTGAGGGCCTTGGGGTATTTTTAGGTGAGTTGATCCTGAGCCTGAATTAAGGTTTGCCCAGTAGATTTTTTTTCTTTCCCTTTGGGAAAACACAGCACCCTTTCTCAATTGTTTGCCATAGTTTCTGGGGGCTGTGGGTAAAGGTTTTAAAGGGTCAAACAGTGGCACAATTTGTCAGTAGAACTAGGACACCAGTTGACCTGACAGGAACCAGCTTGTGTTGAATTGCTACTTAACTCAGCCGATCAAACTTCCCTGTATAAATAGCATATCTTGTTCAATCAACCATTCAAAAAACATTTTGCAGTGGTATTGTCAGTGTGATAACTGTTTTTAAAAAGTAGCAATTTTCAGAGAGTTATTAACCAATTCCTTGAAAGGAAATAATTGATGGCCTAAAACTGACTCAGAAAAGGATGCAGTTCTCAAGAAAATTATAGTGAAAATTACAGTACAGTGTCAGATATTTTATGGATTCAGTGTCACCTGACTTTCATGGATGATGTCTTTCTACACAGAGATGATTTTAAAGCTGCCTCCAGCAATATATAGAATATAACTTTGAACCTTGTCATTTAGAACACTTTCCCATCTTTAGTGCCATGAGAAAATGGAAATAGGAAGCACCAATTGCTATATCTGAAACTCATGATACTGTAATTGATAGAAGCAAAAGAAGAGGGCTACTGAATTCTGCTTATTTAAGACCTTTACATAACCATAGATAGCTCTCACACAGTTGACACTGGATCTAAGTAAAAAGGCAGGAGAAAAGTCCGAGCAATGGGTTCTTTTGTATTGTATTTAGTGAGAGAGATACAAAAGGATAGTGCAGAGCTTTGGATTCAAAGAGGAAAAGATGCTGTCGAGCACAGAGGGACATTTATGTAGCATCTGTCAAGAACTCTTTATAGTAGCTGTATCTTTTCTCAGCATTGAGTCTGTTCTTCCTTGTTTTCGATAACTTGCTAGTTCTGAAGATCATTGTTGTATCTGTTCATTTTACTATTGCCTTCTCATTATAGTGACACTGTTTGAAATAAACTCAAAAGCAAATATTGTTTTGCATTTATAGTCCTTGGCTGAGCCAGCTTTACAGGCTATTCTTAATAAGCTGAAAAAACAGAAGACCTCCTTGGGCCACAATTATATTCAATCCCTTTGCAGAGTCTATGTTGGAATATGCCATCAGCTTGGAGACTTAGAAAAAGCACGTCTCTTCTGCTACACTCTACTTAAGGAAGGTATAGTATAACTTGGAGTTTATATGTTCTTATAAACTATCATATATCTAGAAGATTCAGAAGTATAACCAATTAGATAACTATTGCAGTTAGAGAGGACTAAAAAACCCCTGTGAATAATAACACTCTAACTTTATCCCTCACAAACATACAGCTTACTGCTTCGGAACATTTGACTGGCATTCATTTAAAACATTCTCAACCCTGAACTATATTTTTCAGGCAGGAGCAGTCTGTGATCCTACTCTAATTGCAAACTATTAGGTTGGAATAATTTCCTACCTTTCTTCTGCTAGATTGTTATGGGAAGTTGAGGCCATTCAGAGGTACAAACTGAGGCACTTGCTTTTATTTATTTTAATTATTTAAATCTGGGTAAGCAACCCTTGGTGAGTTTTATTTAAAAAAAAAAAAATGTTTAGGCTCTGACAGCCATAGGGATAGTTGCTGGGGACTGCAAAGGATGGAGCTGGAATTTTGGCCTTTATTAAAATGTTTCAGGATTGTAGGGAAGAGGATTTGCATAGTTGCAGAGCTTAATTTACTTTAGCCCTTATTTTAATAAAATGGGATTGTCAAAAATTTTTTTAGCAGATTGATCTGGAATGCTTTGGGGACCACAACAACTATTGCACTAACGGCTACAGATCACCCAGTTCTCTTTTAAACTCTCAGTTTTATGTTATCATTTAAGGTAGGGATGGCTGGCTGCCAACAAGGTGAACAGAACCAGTTCTCTTTGAGAGTGAGGATGCACTGTACCATTTTGGGGGCAGACGTCATTTGTATCATTATTATACTATTTTTATTAAATATTTTTATCCCACCTTTTATATGCAACCCAAGATGGCAAATGTTCCTAGCTTTTATGCCTAAGGGAGGCCTAAAACTCGCAGTCTCCTGGTGTTAAAGGGTTTGCCCCTGCTTAATTGGGAAGTCATTTTTTCCCCCTTTGCTTTAATTTTTCTTTCTCCCTTCCAGATTTCCCAAGGTCTGACCAGTTGATATTGTTTATTGCAAACATATGGAGTGAAGTGTTCTCCTCTGAAAGTGTGATCAACAAAGCAATCCAATTAGTAACTAGACAGCGTGCAAAAGGAGATGTCTTGAAATGCCTGAAAACCTACCTCAGCTGGGAAGAGGTACAGATATTTGATGTTTTCTTCGTGTGTAATGAAAGGACAGACTCTGCTTTGATTTCTTAGTGATTATCTAAGATCAGAACCACATTTGATTTATCTTTTAAGATATAAAGGGCGTTGTTGCATACTTCTTCGATGGTCTGTTGCTGGGGGGATAAGTCCATTCATGTTGCTGGTGTCTGAAAAGCAACATGAATGGATTTATCCCCCTTAAGTTAGAAATGCAGATTTGATATTTGACAAAGCAATTATCTCTATAGTACTTAATTTTTTACAATTTTTTTGTGTTATTGTTCATTTGTTGGGGGATTTTTACGTGTTTTCCAAAGCAAACACGAGCATATCTTTTATCTCCTGAGAGCAGAATTCCCCAAATTACTTCCATATATTTTTCTGTCACGGAAATTTAATTTAAGCTAAATTCATGCTTTTATTGTCTTCTTTTCCCTTAGAGTGCACCAGTAGATATTAGCATGATGATCTCCAGCCTTCTTTGGGCAATACAGCTGTGTCCACAAATGGAATTTCAGCTGAGTGAAAAATATGGAGAAGATCTGAAAGAGAATACGTGGCAATATGTGTTTGCTATTGACCTCTTATGCTCGTATCAAAAGTGGTGCTGGACCCATGATAATATCATAAGGTAGCGTGTTTAATTTTGTATTTCTAGATACTGTACCACTCTAGAGCAGTGTTTTTAAACTTAGCAACTTTAAAATGTTTGGACTTCAACTCCCAGAATTCCCCATTCACTTACCTTCGTGGCCATCTTCCCACCTGTGGCAGCCAAGCAGCTAGTTGCAGATGCCAACCTTTTTATTGAAGTGAAGATGTATAAAGGCTTTGGAAGAATGTTCCCTTTATTTGCACCTCAATAATTCACTCCAGACCTCAAGTGACAAACTCTTCAATTCCTCCTTGTGCTAACAATCTACCGTTATGGCCCCAAACAGCATAAACATTAGCCAATGTAACTGACTGTATGTTAAAAGGAAGGAATGGAATAGAGAGGCTTTTTAACATCTTGGCTCTGTACGGGAGAGAATAGATGCCTAACAGCAGTGAGGATAAAGTGAGGTGGGGGAAGGCTTATTGTTTCATGCTAGCTTTAGTTGAAATTATCCCAAGCCAAAGCTTTTTGTCTTTTTTGTCAGAAGAATTTGGCAGGCCATGCTAGCTTTGAACAAGAATGTGCCTATAATTCTCCATTTTGTTTCATAGCAAAGAGCTGTGGCCAATCATGGATAATTGGATAAAGAACAGGAATGGCAATGGAAGCACTTCCTCCTCTTCTGATATAATCATTGCAACTGTGCTGAGACTGATTGGTGAGCATGTAACGTTTTCACTGCAGATATCAGGCTCTTGAACACCTTCCCCTTTTTTCTACCCCTCCTTAGGCGAACTGACGGAATACTGTAGTCAGCTTTAGGTGATGCTGATTTCTATATCCTTAATACAATTTCTTAGTATTAAGGAGCAGAGGTAATAGTCTTTTTTTTCTATCTTTAATAATGATAGAATGGTCCTGAGATTCCAAAGAGTATATATTAAAGAATATATTAAAGTTCACCCCCCCACTTTTTTTTTTTTAGTTGCACAGGTTCTCATTGATCTGAGGGCTATCCAGGATGAGTGAACTCGGGGTTCGTGCTCAGATTTGATAGATGATACAAGTTCCATTTCTTCCCAACAAAACTTCCATTTTTTAAAGGCAAACTAAGTGCAAAAAGCCCCTCATTTCCAGAACTCCTTTCTTCCAATTCCTTTTTTTTTTTTTTTTTTTGTCTCTTTCCTCTCGTTTCTTGCCTCTGACTTTCATAGCACCAAAAAGGAAGTATGTGTTCAGGAAAACGTCCAAGGAGGAAGGCAAAGCAGGTCAGTCGTGAGAGGAAAAGAAAGGAAGAAATAGGCCCCTATTGGATCTTCTGTGTTATATTGCATAACTGGAGCACTATTAAGCTAGCACACCTGTTTCCCTCCCATTTTCGTGGGTAGACACACGGCCATGTCAACACTTTATGAGCTGTAGTTTGCCTAAACTATCAAGGAAAAAAACCTTGGAAATGGGACTTTTTTTTAACAAAATACCGTTTCAGCATCTCCTCATCTATGGTACCATTTGGGACCATTCAGTTACATAAGCCCCCACCTCCAACCTACAGCAGTACAACTACACGGTGTGCACAATTATTAGGCAAGTGAGTATTTTGACCATATCATCATTGTCAATGCATATTTTCCACCTCCAAGCTGTGGAAACTTGAATGCTTGGTGGATATAAGCATATCAGGTGATGTGTATTTGTGTAATGAGGGAGGGTGTGGCCCAAGGAGATCAACACTCTATATCAAGGTGTGCATAATTATTAGGCAGCAGCTTTTCCTCAGGCAAAATGGGCCAAAAAAAGAGATTTAGCTGACTCTGAAAAGTCAAAAATTGTAAAAAGTCTGTCAGAGGGATGCAGCACTCTTGAAATTGCTAAGATATTGGGGCGTGATCACAGAATCATCAAACATTTAGTTGCAAATCATCAATAGAGTCACAAGAAACATGTTGAGAAAAAAAGACACACATTAACAGCCAAAGATTTAAGAAGAATCAAACGTGAAGCTACCAGGAACCCATTGTTCTCCAGTGCTGTCATATCAATAACCGGCACAGAGCTCCACTTCGACTCAGACGCCAGCAAGGTGGAGGTGGAGTACTGATATGGGCTGGTATTATTAAAGATCAGCTAGTTGGACCTCTTCAGGTTGTAGATGGACTCAAAATCATCTCCCAAACCTACTGCCAGTTTTTAGAAGACACTTTCTTCGAACAGTGGTACAGGAAAAAGTCTGCATCTTTCAAGAAGACCATGATTTTTATGCAGGACTTTGCTCCATCGCATGCATCAAAGTACTCCACTGCATGGCTCGCCTAGCCAGTAAAGGCCTTAAAGATGAAAGAATAATAAAATGGCTCCCTTCCTCACCTGACCTATTGAGAACTTGTGGGCCCTTCTTAAACGGGAGATTTATGGTGAAGGAAAACAGTACACCTCTCTGAACAGTGTCTGAGAGGCTGTGGTTGCTGCTGCACAAAATGTTGATCGTCAACAGATCAAGAAACTGATAGACTCCATGAATGGAAGACTTATGACTGTTATTGAAAAGAAGGGTGGCTGATTTTTTTTTAAATGTCAGAAATGTTTATTTGTACATTTTGAGTTTGTTTATTATTCTCACTTTAACAGATGCAAATAAACAAGTGAAATGGGCAAATTTTCATTTTCCATTTAGTTGCATAATAATTCTGCACTCTAATAGTTGCCCAATAATTGTGCACACATAGATATTCTCCTAAGAAAGACAAAACCTCACTTCTACTTCATTGAACATTCAGGTTTGAGGTTTATTAACATTTTGGATTGACCAAGAGCACTGTAGTTGTTCAATAAGAAAATTAATCCGCCAAAAGAGAACTTGCCTAGTAATTGTGCACACAGTGTATAAGGCAGGTTGAGCAGATAATTGAGAAATAAATTTCAGTTACTTCTTTCTTTTGACGCTTTATAGGTCGTCTAGGACAAATAGGTCTGAGAGAAGGATTTTTTTCTGCTGTGGAAAATATCAGTTCTGTTATTGGAATCTTTCTCCAGCATGCAAAAGAAAAAGGTAATAATCTTATGTATTGTAGTTAGCAAAAATGAATTGTCCATCAGCTACCCCAGTAAGTGATTTTTCCTTTAAGCAAGGAGAATCGGAAAATGAGTTGGATTAGGAGATAACAGTAGGGCTACACAAGAATCACATAGCCGGCTTTGGGGCTAGATTCTTATCTACGCTCTGATGAAAGCAGTGAGGGTGGCAGGTAGCTGGTGTCTATTTATTTCCTGTTCAGTAGTGTTGCTCAGAAAGTTATGCCAATGTTACCTGTAACGTGAATACATACAAAGTGTTTGTTACAAGAAAGAGCTATATAGAATTTGGTGGGGGGAGGGCACTGTTCAAAATGGTAAAAGACAAGAAAAAGGCCAGCAGAGAAAATGAAAGAGAAATTAAAAAATACATTGAAGGAAACTAAGAAATTGAACAGTGTTGTAGAGAAGAGAAAAATGGAAATCTGGATAAACGAATGAATTGACAGAGGATAAAGTGAAAATGCAAATGAGGATGGTGAAACAAACAGCAGCAGCAGTAGCAGCAAACAGCTGGTTATTCCCAGAAGACTGGCTGGAGAGTGTTTACTCAATCCCACAAGCTTTCTCCAATCATATAAGACAGCTCAGGCTGCCATGTTTCTCTCTGGCACTAAGCAGGGACTCAAAAAAGCAAAACCAAAAATAATCTAATTGAAAAGCACATGGGCGGTTTAAAGTCAATAACGGATAGTGCATCTCCAGGGTTTAAGCTTATTGAGTCATATCATCCCAGGACACAAAGTGACATCAAATATATCTGCTGAAACTGGTATGTATTTAATTAGGAAACACAGCAGCAAAGGAAACACAGTTGGATGTTGGGCTTAGAGAAGAAGGCTTAGAGCAAAGGGACAATGGGTACAGTTCTCCGAAGGGAGACTGAGCTTCAGCTGCAAAAAGTTGGGCAAAGACTCAAGTACATTAAAAATAAAATGTATGTTTACGGAGAAGTCTGCATATGATTTACCTTATTAAAATCTGGGGGAATTAATATTTTCTAACTCTGTTCCCAGTAAGATCCAAAAAACAAAGCCTCCAACAAGTTATTTCCTGTTGAGTGAGGGAAGCCCTGCTTGTCCAGGGCTTTTTGCAAATGGAGTTTCTTACTAGATGTACAAGATATAAGTTACAGTTACTTTTATGTATTCCAATCCAGTTGTGATCCTTACTGGCTTTCCTGGTGTCAATTTTATTTATTTATTTAAAACATTTATATAGCCATCCATCTTACAACCAACTGTGAGCAGCTCCCAACTGAAAGCATACCCAACATAAACACCATAATAAAACTGTAAAACTAAACACTTTTAAAACAGTAAAAACAACAAAAACCCAGTGCTTTTTTTGTAAAAACAAAAGGTGCCGGAACTCACACATGTCATACAACCCGCCTTGCCTACCCTACAAGGTTCCATCCCAAAAAGGTGCCGGAACTCCATTCTGGGCGTTCTATGAGAAAAAAAAAAGCCCTGCAAAAACCTGTCGCCAAATCATACAGTCTCTTCTCCCAGCAGGGTCATCAAAGCTTTACAGAAGGTGTCGCATAATGTCCTTCCTAAATGAAACTTCATGTGAAAGATTTCATGCCAGATTTCATTTCACACTAGGTATTTTGTATGTTTATGTGTATGCGTGTACATACACCCACGCTATGGAAATATCCACAGAGCGTGCAGAGTTCTGTTTTTTTGGAACGAGGTGCAACTCCCTGTTCTTTCTAGCACACTAAATTCCCAGCATGCATATTAGAGACCCAGCTCTCGGAAGAGAAGTTGGACTTGAAGATCTTGCAAGTCACAAGGTGTCCATTCTATAGTGAAGGAGTAAAAAGTTATCCTGAATCACCTCATTCCACATCAGGCTTGAACGTCCCACAAGTCATAGGATAGTGGCCCTACTTTGGAGTCCTGGTAGCAGGACCAATATTATTTTAATATTATTTGCATGTTGGTCAAGGATACTATTGATTGTTATATTTTCATCTTTTCCAGATGTGGCCTGGGGTGTCCAGTTAGCAGCCACATATGCACTCTTTGATTTGGGGCCTAGCAATCCATCAAAAATCTTGGAGGCCATCCATGCATGGAAAGCAGTAAACACCATCAGCCTCCCCCCTGCTGTTCTAAATGGCATAACTGAAGTCAATAGTCTACTAACGTGCACAGAAGAACAGAAGATTGTTCATTAGCATAATGTTTTCAATAGAAAATGGAGGCAACTCCTCTGAAAGAGGTTTCTTCGAAACATGAGAGACAGCAGAAAGTAGGAACACTTTCATAGGTGTATTCAGAAAACATCTTGGCCAATGTAGCCTGAAATAAGTTGTGTTGCAGACGAGTGTGTCCTTATATACTAGGAGAGAAAGGGCAAGTTGTCTTCTGTACTAGCTCTCTTTAAATCAGAAAAAAAAAATCATTTATGGAAATAGAAGTGTTCTCTTAGATATGGTCTTCCAGATTGGGAGTCATAGGCTTTTATATGCCAAAAGGTCTCCAAATTGCCTTCATTGGAAATTATTTGAAACCTTTTTTAAGCAAAGTGGATTTGTCCATTGATTAGCATGCTAACTTCAGAGAATTGAATAAGTTAAAGAAGGCTATTCCTAATAGTGTGCACATTCATCCCGCTTCTTTCTTTAAACGGATTCAGTAAATCCCCGGTGTTTCAAAATGCCGCATATTTTCTTACTAGAAAACAATACTGGGACAAAAGAGGGATATTTGTGCCATGGGAAGTGATGTACCGCTCAACTTTAACTACATTAAAAATAGATTTGCTTCTACTGTAAATTTCTTAATCTTGACCAAAGCATAACTTTAAAAAAAATGCTAGCAGTAGCCATCCTACTTTTAATTATTTAAAGGAGCCATAATGTGTTTCCTGTAATATTTAACATCCACATTATATAGAAGATTGAGAAGACTTCTCTATGAGAATTTGTATATATGTTATATTCAAATAATGTGTTTCACATTTCACTTTGTTCCAGTTTGGGAATTTTATTATCTGTATATAGAAATTGGAAAGAAAGACACTTGCACTGTTCAATGATGTTTCACTTATTTTCAGTTATATATAAAAGTATAAACACTTTTTCCTAATAAATGTGGTTTGTGTCTTTTCTAGTTGCACAGTTTCCATGCCAAGTGTTGCTAATCCTAATTGCCAAAGCATCATAAAACTACTGTCCAAATTTGAATATACAGTAGAGAGAGAACATTTCCTTACCTGCACGTGAAAAAAGTATTATCTTTTTTGTCTTAATAAGTATTTCAATAATTTATAATGAATTACTCAATCTCTGCTTTTGAATGTACTTGAAGCATCTAACACTCAACCAAATTATACATCAGTCCAAAGGATCTAACAAAAAAAAAAAGTTAAAACTAATCACACTGTGAATGTCAGCATCAAAATATTAGCAAATGTCCTAAGTAACCGTCTTTTAAATAAAATTATAGTGGGGAAATTGATCCTTTTTTACAATAGGATTTCAAATTAGTAGCAGCTGTAAATACTACGGAAGGGCTAAAACTTTGCCTTTATGAGAATAACATTATTCCTTGGTTGTTGTTTTTTAAAGCTGCAAGGTAGATTCATGATTCTGCGTAATAATGAGAGAAAATGTGAACAGAAGCAAGGAGAAATAATTTAGGAAGTGACAAAATGCTATTATTCAACATTTTGACAATGCTTTATGCTTGATCAAATACCCTTCTTCTTTAAATGTTGTTTGGGTAGTTTGTGCAAAGGCCACTATTCATTTATTAGTCCAGTCTAACTCAACCAGAGCCTCAAGATAGTCCATTGTGATTTATTCATGATTCTGGAATGCTATTTGTGAAAAATAGGAGTTCTTAACTGGGAGGGTCCTTTTAAAATTGATTTTTCTCTTAGAACTATGCAAAGCCTTTCAATTTAGAAAGGTTGTTTCTACCTCATTGAAAATGTCCTTAGACTTTTGTGGAAGAGTCTGAACAGAATTTGAAACAAGATTGTTTTGAGCCCGTAACACCTTTGGTGTGGTTTGAACAATTCCAGTATGATTGGAACGGTTCCTTTCAGTTCGAAACGTACATTTCAAATATGTTTTCATACTTTTAAATTCTTTCTGTTCTTTATCAGAAAAAAAAAAAACCCGGTGGCAGTCTTCCCTACTTGGCAGTCAGTGGGCAGAAGGTCTGTAGATAAACATCTCCTCTTCATGTTCATCAGGGCTCCTGACTTCAAGTTTTCTGAGAGAGGTTGCACAATTTTTTTGTTTGCATAAAGAGATGGATGACAAGTGATCTCAGCATGACATCTTGTAGCCATTTCATTTCATTCCTTTTTTTGCTTTTGGACTTTAGCAGTCCCTAGCTCAGACTGCTTCCATAACATTTCAAAAAGCTTCCCGTCAACCTTTTGAGTATGCATCAGAGATTTGCTTCTGCTTTCCCTTCAACCTTTGGCTGCTCAGAGAGAATTTTTTATTTCTGTTCTCCACTGACATGCCCCTCATCCAAACGCAGAAATCCAAGTGGTGTGTTGGAATATCTCGAGGCAAAAAAAAAAACAAAAAACCCACCAGTGTGTTGATCCCTGAATTCAGTTCTCTTAATCTGTTTTCTCCCCTTTCCCATCAAAGGATTTTATATATGGCAAGAAGTGTTTGTTGCATTTTGCAACAGTAAAATGGAGAACATAATTCTGCAACAACTTTTATATGTTGATAGAGTTTTGATTTTATTTTGTATTCTTACATTGTTAAGCTGATTTAAAAATGTGAGGTACACCACTCAGAGTCGTCAGCATTGGAGTGGCCAGTCAGTCAAGTATAGAAATAAATCATGCCACTGGATCAATAGGTTTTCTCCAAGAATGAATGAATGAATGCCAGTGGATCAATAGTCTTGTCATAAAAAGTAACACAACAAAAATAGAAGTGCTACACTATCTTAACTGGGTACAATTTATGGTCCATGGCACAGAGTGAGCCATAGAAGGTGCAGGATTTTATAGCTGTATCACAGAAAGGAAACAGATTGATTTTGCAAGGGATGAGAGTTACTTAGAAACTGTTGATACAGTTTTATAGAGGAATTGCTGAGTGTCATTTGTACTTCTATACCAGGGATCTTCAAACTTGGCCACTTTATGACTTGTGGACATCAACTCGCAGAATTCCTCAGCTAGGCACGCTGGCTGAGGAATTCTGGGAGTTGAAGTCCCACAAGTCATAAAAGGGCCAAGTTTGAAGATCCCTGTTCTATACTGTCAGGTTTCTACTTCTGTAACTGGTTTGGTACAGCAACTAAGCGGGATAGGTACAGACTCCAAAAGATAAGACTGTAAGACTAGAAAGAACAATTGCAACCAACCTGCCTTCCATAGATAGAAGACCTGTATATTGCACAGGTCAGAAGGAGGTTTGAGAAGATATGTGTAGACCCCTCACATCCTGGACATAAACTGTTTCAACTAACAAAATGAAATTCAATGGTGAAAAAAGTAAGGTTCTACATTTAGGCAAGAAAAACCAAATGTACAGGTATAGTATAGGGGGTACTTGCTCAATAGTAGTAACTGTGAGAGGGACCTCGGAGTCCTAGTGGACAATCACCTAAATATGAGCTAGCAGTGTGCTGCAGCTGCCAAAAAAGCCAACACAGTTCTAGGCTGCATTAACAGAGGGATAGAATCAAGATCATGTGAAGTGTTAATACCACTTTACAATGCCTTGGTAAGGCCACACTTGGAATACTGCATCCAGTTTTGGTCACCACGATGTAAAAAAGATGTTGAGACCCTAGAAAGAGTACAGAGAAGAGTAACAAAGATGATTAGGGGAGTGGAAGCTAAAACATATGAGGAACGGCTGCTGGAATTGGGTATGTCTAGTGTAACAAAGAGAAGGACGAGGGGGGACATGATAGCAGTGTTCCAATATCTCAGGGGCTGCCACAAAGAAGAGGGAGTCAAGCTATTTTCCAAGGCACCTGAAGGCAGGACAAGAAGCAATGGATGGAAATTAATCAAGGAGAGAAGCAACCTAGAACTAAGGAGAAAATTAGTTCCACTGGTTAGAACAATTAACCAGTGGAACAACCTGCCTCCAGAAGTGGTGAATGCTCCAACACTGGAAGTTTTTAAGAAGAGACTGGACAGCCATTTGTTCGAAATGGTATAGGATTTCTTGCCTGAGCAGGTGGTTGGACTAGATGACCTCCAAGGTCCCTTCCAACTTTATCATTATTATTATAATAACTCCTCCCCTTGGGATGCAGCTATAGGGCATTGCCTGCCAAAACAACTAGACAGACAGTTTTTTCTTTCATGACATCATTCTGCTGAACACTTAATTCTCTCAGTGCTATCTAATGTCTATGTAGTCTGGCTGTAGTATTATTTATCCTTATTATCTTCTTTACTCCCCCTTTTCTTGGGATGAGGATGATAATGATCATATATATATGATATATATTATATATCATATATATATATATGATATATAATATATATATAATATATGATATATATTATATTATCACATAATATATATGATAATGATTCTATTAACTTCTAGTTAATAAAGATTGGTTATATTTCATCAGTAAACAGTGCATTTTCCTATATGCACTATATAAACTACCGTAGTTCACTTCCATGTTTTTCTCTCTAGCCTCAGAGCCCCCAAATTTATACTTTGTACCAGCAGAGGGCACTTGTGAACTGTGTTCAGGGCTTTTGAGGGAGGAGGCAAGCTCATCTGATTTGTTAAGGATACAGGGTGAGAAGAATTGAGAAATTCAAGTATGTAGCCTCATGAAAGATGCAAAAGAGAGTTGGAAAAGAGAGTTGAAATAGTTACCAACCTGAAGAAAATGGGCTTTAAGGAAGATTTGATCCAAATTGTACCAAAAAAGGCAGAAAAAAACTGATTAAAATAGAGGCATGAATTTCACAGACAGGAAATAAGAGACAACCCCCCCCCCCAAATGTGACAAGGACAATGTTGCTTGAACCTGTATTTGAAGATGCTATCTTTTGATTACTTGGATCTGACACTACTCTCTGAGGGTGAAGATTTGTTGAGAAAGCCATTCTGTTTCAAGGTCATTCAATGAATGTCATGGATGAGAGAGGATTTAACTCTTGGTTGTCTATTCTCCAATCTATCATTCTAATCAATTTATTACAAATGAACCATATTTTACTGCTTTTCACTCTAATTAGGGTATTCCAATACTATGACTTTACAATACAATGCAGCAGAACATTGCTTTAGAGCTCGAAACTGAAAATGATGATACATTGCTATGCTGGACACTGAAAACCATCTCATCCCCAGTGAGATCTTTTTATGATTTATACACATGTTTATTTATAAATCCATCATTTGTGCCTATTCCTGGACTGGAAGGGCTTCACACAGCCATCTCTCAATTGGACTACTGTAATGCATGCCACATGGGACGACCCTCAGTGATCACCCAAAAGCTATAACTACTTCAGAAAGCAGCGGGCATCAGACATGGGTGTGTCATAGAATGCACAAACATCCCTGCTGCTTCACAAACTGTATTGGTTATTTGTTGGCTTCCAAGTGGAATTCATGTTGCCTATTATCACTTCAAAAGCCCTTCATGGCATAAGATCTGGCTAACTGAGGGATCATCATGCTGCCCGGGGAATTCTGGGAGTTGAGTTCACACATCTTAAAGTTGCCAAATTTGAAAAATACAGATCTAATTGGGCACAGCCATCCTTCCTGCACTTGGAAGAAGTTACAATCCTCTTACAAATCTGAGTTTCCTGTTCCTTGTTGCATAAAGGTAGCACCTTCATTAACTGATTTCTCCAATTATGACACCATTTGTTTGCTTGCTTCCCTAGTAATTGGGGAGTGAACTTTAAATTTTAATCAAGGTAGTTGCACATTATTGAAGAACGGTAGAGAAAATATTTGATTAACAGGCTTTTATTCTTATGGCCAAAATACATAATGGGAGGAAATGGAAGAAGGTTATATTTTAAAAAAACCAAAATGGCTGCTAAGGAAAAAGGACCTGAACAGGCATGGCAAGCCATGCACCATTGGGGGCCACCAGCAACGGCTTCATGGA